GAATACTAAAGGAAGAGTCCAGCAGGGTCCAGTTACAGGTTACTGAAGCTAACAGGTATTACTGGTCATGTCCCATTGATGACCAAGGAACTTCTACGAAACAAACACAAGCAAAGTGTTAAAAAGTATGGGCCCAAGAAAGTCCTGTTCTCTCTAAAGAGAGAGCGAAGGGCTACAAAGGAGCAGTAAAAAGTGTCCTGGAGCCCAGAGCTCACAGAGGCTCCTTGCTGGGTAACTACTGGAGCTGAGCACGGACTGTGAGTGTACCTGCTCCTGTCTCTTGCTCCCTTACCCCTGAAGCCTGCTGCAGGGCTGGCAGGACCCCGCGCTCCCCACCTGCTCTTTGACTCCTGCTTGTATTGAAAGGAGGCATCCGGGGAGAACAAGCACCCGAAGTGGGCCTGGCTGACCCAAGCCAACCTGCATAAATCACTGGCAGTAACTACAGCAATTAAGAAATCCTCCCACCTCCCCCAGTGCTTTTTAAATAGCAAAACAAAACGATGGAAGCTAATAAAAGAGCAAAGCTTGAACAAGCTCTCAGCAACAGAGTGAGACAGGAAGAGCAGGTCTAACAGTCTGAGAAAGTTGTGCTAGGAAATAACGGAGTCAACAGGAAACTAGGAACGTCCCTCAGACTTTGAGCAAGGTTTCAGTCCTGGACCTTCCAAGGGCAGCAAGAGCAACTCAGGGAGAGGGCAGCTGGAACAGGCAGATTACAAAGCAGACTGAAGACAAAGAGAGTGAGTGTAATGCTCCAGCACAGAGAGGGCCTGTGACAAATGATGTCATACTGTCTTACGGCCTGATTTGGAAATCAATGACCTGGAAGGAGGAACACTGAGTAGAAGAATGTGTTCTACAGCCAGCGTGCCAAAAGTGAGCACAGAGCCAGCTTTGCCAGCTCAGGCTGGGAGCACTGTGAAATTAATGCTCTGCCTTAATGTGACAGGAGATAAACTGCACCTCTGAACATTTCCTTCAAACATCTGTTTGGTTTGAGTGACAAAAGGACCTATCCCATCTCCACTAAAACTGTGAAAAATTGTGTGGTTTCCGTGACCTGCTAAAACTTTCAATGGCTGTATCTCAGGGGCTCGTTTGCACAGCTCACACTGCACAGGAAAAATACAAACTAACCAGTTTGTCTTTACCCCTAAGCACCTTCAGTCCCCCTGTGGCCCGTTCACTGCCATTTGCAGTGGCAAATCTACAGTCCCACATTCAGGAATGCATCAAGCAAACGCCTCTCCCTGTCCTACACAAACCACAACAGAACAAAGCAGCTTAGCACCACAGGGACCTCCCAGTGAAGTCTCTGGCCCTTGCTGCAGCTTAGCACTGAATTAAGGCAAACCGTGCACGGCAGTCAGCAGAGGCTGAGTGTGCAGAGCACAGGGTGCTGAGGACCTGGGAAAAGATGAACTGCAGATGCTGGTCCATGGTAAATGCAGGCCGAGCAGCAGAACCAGGGTATCTGTGCTCTGCCTTAGAAACCACCACAGAGAGTTTGATGATTTAGTTTTATTTTCCCCAGAAAAGGAAACATACAGAAAGAGGACAAGACAAAGAAGCATCAGTGGAAATGAAATGCCTGGGAGCAACGATTAAGGCATTTAAGGTTAGTGCATTTTATGCTATGTATTCACATTACTTCCTCCCTTTATTAAATCTCCCTGCCAGCTTTACACTCCAACAATTTTTAACTGTAACTGATGTGACATACAAGTTGTCAGAATCTCACTGCTGCTGGAAACTCCCAGTCCAGCCATAACCTCAGTCTTCTCAAAGCTCCACACTGACGTGTTAATCTTTCCCACCATCATCCTTTAAACATGACCCATTGCTTTCTTCATTTGCACCCTGTTTTCATTGGTGGAATACTGTTCTGCATGAGCAAACTGATAAATAACTCAAGTGTGTAAAAGGTTTTCTGAGTTGACACTTGGGAGGTACAGCCTCTGACAATCTGTTTTACATGGAAAGCCACCTAGGTGTCTGACACAGCCATGTGCACGGCTATGAGACATGCCCAAAAATTAAGCGGAGAGTGATTGTTTTGCATGGCAACACAGGAGTGGTGTTGTGCTGCTACCACAAAATGACTGATCTGAGGTCATATCCTCTCTGATTTTCCAGCACTGCTGTGAGGGAGAAGGAAATGGTTTGCCTGAGCTGATCATGCAGAAAAAGAAAAGCAAAGGAACCAGCATTTTTAGGAGGTACCAACTGGAAGAGCCAGATCATAGATGAAGTATCAGTTTACTCATGCGGCTTGTTTCCAAGGCACAGGCCAGTTTTGCTGACATAAGTGCCCACTTAGATGCAGAGTCTCAGGACCAAACAAAAGGCAGCAACACATGCAGACGTGCCACGTAAGGGCAAAATTCAAAGAGCAAAAGGGCTGGTCTCCCTAGTGCCCAAGGTGGATTGCAAGGTAACAACAGAGAGAAAAAACCAAGTTCAAAATGAGAGCAGCTGGTGCTTACAACTGAACTGAGTCTTGTGTTTCCTCCTATATGATAATGTCCATTCCTTTCTCCCTCAAGCCCCCAGTAATTTCAGTTTCAGAGTATGCCCAGGAATGGCACCTTCTCCCTGTATTTCTCATGCCTGGCATATAACAGAAGCCCCCAGCCACACATGCTGTCTGGTTAAACACTGCACATCCCAGGTCTGATGAGGACTGTACTGTTACGTTTCCAGGAAGTTCTCCCATGTTAAAACACTGTGGGTTTATTTGTCAGGGATAAACTTGCAGGTTGGCAAGCAATGAAGCTCTCGCATGTGGCTATAAAAAGAGGGAAAAAAAATGTTTCATAGGAAAAGAAAATATGAGTAATGCAAGCTATTAAAATTGTTGCCCATTCCTGGAAGCTTCTGACCACATGGACCAATTTCCAGTCTTCCTTCCTCCAGCGCCATAATGTAATGGAGAGGTTTAATAAATATTCCAGAGCCAAAACAGCCCCCGTGCCCTTGATGCATTGTCTTCATCACTGCAGCCCAGAGAGTCTGGTGAGTCAGAAATCCCAGTAGTGGGAAGTTGCAGATTTACAATAATACCTGGCTTAACAATACACTACAATTTAGCCAGCACAGAAATTTTCCTGTTTGTATCAGCAGGAGGATGCAGACATAACTCTTGACATTCCCAGAGTTTTTAACTAAAGGAAAAATAACCCTTATCCAACTTTAGAGGCTGTGACTTTACACAAGGTTGTGGCTGAATAATGGCAATGCAACAAAAACAAGCCAGACAGCCCAAGACACAACAGCATTGCTAAAGTAAGCTAAATTTGATATAAAAGCACCTGGGAAAATCCTGAAAGAAAATTACTATAAAACCAGGGATTGGAAGAGATGCTGACAGCATCAGTACAGCTCACCTTCAGCCACAGATGGTAGTTTGATTTTGGTTTTCTGTTATGATGATTTCTTCATAGAGACGTGATATTTGTTTTAAAAATAAAACTAAACCAAAATAAAAACCTTTAATAATTCTCATCGACCCAAAAACACTCTTTTTTCCCCCTCCTTACTGTTTAGGTTTCCCTAAAAAAAAAATCAAGATACAATTAAAATTCAAGTGTCTCCAAAGAGTATTTTTACCTACTAACTTGAAGTGTTTTAAGAGAAGGTACAAGTGCTGTGCATAAAAATGCCCACTCTTATGAAAAGAAGAAAAAGCTTAAAATTTTAAATACTTTATTAATTTTAATCATTCCATGTAAAATATTTAAAGAATTTAGTGGTTCAGTGATTTCAGGAATTCCATTATGAGTACACAAATCTCCAGGGCATTTCAAGGCTGAAAACCTGCTCTTTTGCTGTTGCTTAGCTCCACGGAAAAATAAGCTTTTGTTAGCAGAAGCGACACACAGATTTCTGGTTAGCCTGAAACATACACAGGAGACACCCTGCTCCAGTATTTGCTGATTTATATGCAGGTTTTCTTTTAAACATCTACCATGCATTTGGTGACAAAAGCTTTCCCTGTAACAGCAGGGCAGCCTCAGGGCTGTGAGGAGGGAGGGAAAGGAGCAGGCCTAAAGAAAGTCATTTGGACAATGAACCCTTCCAGAGGACAGGCGAGATCTGATCCTGCGGGCTGCCCTCAATCAGAGCAGTTCTGAAATCCCACAAATGGCCTAGGCCTGTGTGACCATCACTCAAATGCTGGAGAAAGCTGTCATCCGTGGAGTGATGAGCAGTGAAATGTGAATGGAGGAGAACTGATGGTATTTTTCAGCACGCCAGAAAGGAAAAGCTATCTGGGCAGAGTCCCTGTTCTGGACAACAGCCAGTTCAGCACAAAGAATGTGTTCTCAGAGCAGGCATTTAAACACCCTCCTAAAGCTGTGGACAGACAGTGCAACAAACTGGCATGATGGTGAACATATTCATCATGTCAACCTCCACTGATGGCCTGATTTCTCCTGCATAGAGCTCTAAAGCTTAATCACACAGCAGCTCCCTGACAGCAGCATCCGTTTGCAATCATCTTATCACTTCCCCTCCTGTATTACAAATTTACCACATAGACAAAGTGTCCCATGCTGATTATCAGCAGCGGAAATCTCAGATGCAGCCTGCTGTCATGGACACTACTCTGAACATGGCAGTTACCAGGACAATAAGCCTGTTCTCCAAGACCTCTCAATCACCTTCCAGCAAGCAGAGAAGGTAGCATTTCTTCTGTTTGAGTTACAAATGGGATAGCACATTCATTGCCTCCTCTTTTGTCACAAATGGAGCATCCCCAGCAGTGCCCAGGGCTCAGTGAGAGCACAGTTCCTATGTACTGTGCTGGAAGTTTTGAAATTAATAGGCGAATCAGAGGTCAAAACATAAATTCTCATGAAAAAGCATCTATTCCTTAAGAGTACTGATGAAGGCAGAGGGGACAAAGCAAGAGGGAAAAAGCTGCTGACTTTCTGCCTGTGAATCACGCTGAATACCTCTCTATCTGGAGAAAAATCTCTGGTGCTGAGACAATCAGAAGGCAGAAAAGCAGTCTCCCTGGTGCTCCAGGATTCAGAAGTCCTGTTATGTTTTGCAGTAAAGGTAGGAGGAGTGAATTAAGCACAGTCTTACCTGGATCTGTCCTTTGCCCATTATGCGATCTGTGCTCTCTCCATCCTCTTTAGTAAGCTTGGTTTTGTTGTAGCACTTTTCATAGCACAGAATCCGCAGAGTTTGTGAGCCCTCCAGCTCAATCTCAAACTCCTGCAGGGTACCAGGAAAGAGCAATGAATGCATCACAGCAGAACATCAGCCTCTGAATAATCAATATAGTCTCCTGGAAACTCATCAGGAGGGAGCACTTAAGCACTGATCAAAACCACCTCCCTAATGGAGTTGGTCTAGAAATAAAACTGAAACTGTATGTTGTATATACAAGTGGTCAAATCAAAGACTAAAATGTTTGACTCCTTAGTCAGGTTTCACTGAGTTTCAGCAAAGCATCACTCCAAAAACCAAAACTCACCCACCTTTCCTATATTTAAATTTGCCCCCCAGCAGGTTTGAGTTGGCTGTAAACAGGCAAAATATCTATAGCTAATTCTTTCCCCTCACAATAAATAAACAAAACCACCTCCTTCTTCAACATATTTTTCACTTGTGTCTTTCAAAAAATAACGAGACATGCATCTGTTTAAATGATGAAATGCTCGACAAGACTCGTTTGTACTGAAATGTTTGTTTAACTATAGCTAATCCCAGATAAAATCTTCTGCAAGCCCTGACAGCCAAATGAACCTGGCATAAGAGTGTTTTCCAACAGGCAGCATATGCAGCACATGTGCTGAGCATGCAGCAAGTTCTTCCATTTGTGGGTTTTCTGACCATCATAACTTAATGTTTGGCACATGGAGCAAGTCACATAAGGAAAAATCCAACCTACCTCATTCCAGTTGGGCTCCGTGGTGTCCCTGTAAACTCTAGTCTTAGCCTTGTTCACAAAATATCCAAAAGAATCCACCTCTAACGTGCAGTACAAATCTGTGGAGGGGACACAGAAACTTGTAAAAAATGTCTAGAATCTCCTAAGTTGTGTTAATCACTTTCAGGGTGTGTTTTCATCTGCATCTTCTTTGTATTAACATCGATAACACTGTCAAGCACAAACCTCATCATCTGGACCATCAGAGTTGCCTTTATGAAGCTGAAGTACCAGCACAGCTGCATAAATGACCTCAACACAGACAAACCTTTCACCTCTATCAAGAACCAAGGTGTATGCTATTATCCAGTATTTCCCAGATCAATCCACAGTGAGCAGAAGGTATATACCAATGAGAAATAAAGCTTTCCCAGGTATACACTGGATTCCATCAACACATCAGAACCAGTTTCATTGAGAACAGCATCAGCATAATATCCCTCAGAGAGCTGGTTAGGGGCCAGCCATCAAAAACTCATTCTCTTCACAAATTGGTTAATTTTGTGGTATCTGGTGGTTTTGAAGAGCTAGCAGACATTGCTCTGATTCGTGAATTATACTGTAAGTGATGTGAGCAGCCTCTGGGAAGTCAGTGCCTCAGCAGGAGGAAGGCTGAAAGAAAGGATGTACATCCGGTTCACGGCTTCCCTCCTGAGACTGCACAGGCACCTTAGACAAGCACAGGATCCCCAGCTACATGGCTAGGTGAGCTTTCCAGCTTTGCCTAGATTATCCTCATCAGTGCCTCAGAAGCAGGTTTATTTCTACAGGTGTCCACTATTTTTTCACCTTTTTTGATACTCTGTGAAATCACTCTGAATTTTAACACCTCTCTCTCTGCACCATAAATTCCAGGTGTCAGAGAATGCTTCCCATTCTTTCATTGCAAAACAAAATACAGTTGAAGGAATTCAGGCTAAGGGCTGACTTGTATCTAAACCTGTTGCATAATTAGCAAACACCGCTTAAAAAATACCAACCGACTAGGCCTAAAAATTAATACTGTGTGCTTGATCCTTGATCCTGATCTGTCCTGGGTTCAGCTTAAACCATGACACTGATCTTCTGAGAGTTAATAGTCGTATTAAAAACCTGAATTCCCCTAAATTCACACAAGTGCCCCCATGTCAATTCCAGCTCCCCAAATCACCTCTCCTCCTCACCATCACCCCAATGCTAAACCAGTCCACACCCAGCTGTCCCAGAACCTGAATTATCTAACCCCTACCTCTGTGTATTACAGAATTGCAACTCACTTGAACTTTGCTTGAATCCTGTGGCAGAGTGCACAATGACATTCAGGAATCCATAGAGACCTGGCGATTCATCATCTGTACAAAAGAGCCAAGGAATTTTGTTACATTCATGGAGGAGGCATGAGTGAAAGACAGAGTGATGAGATTGATGTTACACAGGTTGAAGAGCAGAGGGTAAACTGTCCCTAAAAAGGCTGGCAGGAGCATGTAATCCAGCCATTTCAGCAAGAGGAGGCTCATCCAGGTTCAGTGTGGCTTTCACCTGCAATGCCTTCTGCCAACGTGTGGCTTTTACAATGACATTTCTCTGGTCAGCAAGATGACATGAAAGAAATTCAAAGGAGAAGTAGTAAAATATAGAGGAAAAGTAGTAAAATATAGAGACTAAGTCTATACTAGCAGATTAAATAGTAATTTAGGATGGTCTCTGACACAATTTTGGCCAACTAGTGTTCTTCCACAGCATTCTGAAGCTAGGAATCCAACAGGCACTCCAATCCCTGACATGATGGATGTATGTAGAGACCATTCAGTAGTCAACAAATTGGAAGATGTCCAGGAACATTTTACTAATTTAGGTGTAGCGATATAATTTGGAGCTTGTATTTTCATTGTTGCAGCAAGTAACATTAAGATGCCAGATTGATCTTGTTCCTGCTGCTCTCTTTTTGTATGCCATCATGTACTTCAACTGAACTACACAAGTTGGGTACATATGCTCTCAGTTTGTAACTCATCACCAGGTTGAAGCCTTTGACAAAATGAAACAGTAAGAGCAGTGCTAGTGGAAATGCACAAAGGCAGGCAGAGGCAGGTTTTCAGGGCAGCTGTACCGAGCGAAAGAATAAACCAAAGGTCTCACCTTCCTTATTAATAGTGAGGGGAATGTTGTGGACTGTCTGAAGCTTCACACAGGAGTTTGTCAGCATCTGGAGTTCCACTGATGTGAGCGAGAAGCTTTTAAAACCTGCCAAGGAGAGTCAAGGAGGGAGGAATTAAGATTCAAAGCAGAGGCTGGATGCATGCTTTCTCAATCTGGGCATACAGGGGACAGCTGCTCCCTGGGCAATGCTCAACAACAGGACTGTCGTTCTCAGGACTGTACTGCTGCTGCAGCCCAGCTCTATGGAGGGCATATTTAGTGTCTCTTTAGAGTAAAACAGTCTCAGGATGGTTCACAAGAACCAGAAGTGCTCTTATTTGCTTGCAAAGCAAAAACACACTCATGACAAAAAAGTTTCTTTGGACTGGAGCCAGATAAAAGTGTGCAGCTGATCCCTCTACCTGGAATTGCAGAGAGCTCTAATCTCTAGGGCAATAGGGAGAATCTCTCCACACACTTACCAAGTGCTCTCCCTACATATTCCCTACATGTTGCTGCAAGCAAAAGTCCCTCAGACAGGCTCAGATATGCAGACAGAAGACATCCATGTTGTGCTGTGGATTTGAACACATATATGTATTTCTGCAGGGAACCATGCCCCACACTCCATCCTCTGGCCTGCTGCCCTCTAATAAGATCACAGTATTTGTACCAATGCCCAGCTGAAGGACACTCACATTTCTTCTGCTGCTCCCGGATGTTCTCCCTCCACTCTGCCCTTTCATAGTCAGATGAAATGAGGAATGTGTAACTCTGTGCAGGAAAACAGAAGAGGGGGTATGCATTAGTCTGAGTGACCACCGAAAGCAGGCCTGCTTTCAGGTCGGACAACAGGGCATGAAGACCTTGTACAACAGTGTATACAAACACACACAGCCCATGACCTCTGACTTGTACACTGAGGGAAGCTAGAAGAGCCACTCTCACCTTGCCATTGCGATTGTGTACCCGGAAGGCCATGTTGGGAGACATCAGCAGTAGGAGGGATTCCTGCTCTGACAGCTTCTTTTTCAACCTCTCAATGACCTTGCTGCCTTTATTAGCCCTCTGGAGGATGGGGGAGACAGAGGACACATGTCATTCTCCAACATCTGCCCCTATTTATACTGATAGATACTTAAAGACGCACAATCTGTTTCTTCTATGAGTAGCCAAATGGGCAGGAGAAGTGCTGAGAGAAGGATCCACAGGGCCCTCAGCTGCCCACGAAAGTGTTACCTGCAGTATCTCTACACTCAGACTTGGCTCTGTGCCCCAATTCCAGCTGCCCCAGACAAAGGTGCAGAGGTGCATGGCCACTGTCCCAGCTATACCCTGTACTTTCTGTTCCAGAGGCTCCAGCAGCAGCATGTCAGTGGGCAGCCATAGCACTGCCAGGTCCTCCACAAGTATCTTTATTTAAGGATACTATAAGGAACTTCTCTAGAAGCTGCCCAGAACTCTCCCACTCACCACCCACTGATCCATTTTCAGAGGTCAGCTAAACCCAAGGCTTTTCTTGGATAAAACCCAGCCCCAAACCCAGCCAAATGTATTGTTTGGCACTGATGCACCAAAGCGCGTATCTTAAGACTCCAGCACCTTGTGAGTAAGAGGCTTCCACATGGTGTTCCTCCTAATATCTTACTTTTTCCAGGAAGCTGTCTCTGAAAGCCAGACAGGGAATAAAGGCAGAAGCATATTATTTGGAAGCACAGGGGATAGTCTTCTCATGGTACAAGCAATATTATTCATATCCTGTTCTACACACTGGCAGGCTTTTGGTTTTCAAAATCTTACTACTCTTTCAGGTTCCAGGAAGGCTGAGTCTAACATCTCTGAGAAAGCATGTCTTGCAAGCAAGGAGAAACCTGGTCCAGAAACACCATACCTGTTGTCAGACTGTCTAGTCAGTATAACTGGTGTTCTCAAGGTATTTGCTGGTGCTTTGATACTGGTGAAGGCAGAAAAAGCTTCAAATATGTAACTGAGCCTGCAAAAATTCAGAAGTACATGGCTTCTGACCAAAATCATTTGCAGTATCATACTTCAACAGCCAGAAACCAGCATGACACACTAGCAGTCCTTGTGTCCACAGCGTAAGAGCCCTGCTCCCCACATGGATGCTAAGCAACAGCAATCATGGGCTGTTCTCCGAGTAGAGGAGCCACTGGCTACAAGTACAGGTTCTTTCTGTTTCTGCCTCCTTACAGGACATCGTCGTTCAAGCAATGCACTAGAACAAGCAACGATGGGCTGCAGAGCATCTGAGTATCACTGGTAACAAAGCTGCACCACAAGCCTCTGCTGAACAGTCTGTTTTACTGAAACTGCTAAAAATGCTGCACGGCTCTGGGAATTCTGCTTCTATCAGCACCTCATCTCAGCAGAGACACCAAGTCTGTACAAAAAGCTTTAACCCCTTTTACCTTTTCACGCTGGATGTCATTCTTGATCTGGGATATCTTGATCTTCATGGCATCTAGTTCCTCATCAGGTACCAGTGGGATATTGGGCACTGCCTCAGATTCATCCACCATTTGGAAACTAAGGTCAGTGAGGGGGATGTACCATTTGCAGTCATATTGTTGGCTTTTCCTGAAAGACAGAAGATCCAAACCTTTTACAGTGTTTGGCAACACCCTCTCCCCTTCCCACAAGTCCTTCCCTGCTATAGTGCGTAAGATACAGAACTGGGCACAACTTCACCGTGACCCACATGCGGGAAAAGTCTGGCAAAGGGCTGCTTTCCAGCAAGAAAGCCTAAAAGGGCCAATAGCCAGTACAGCACCTAACAAGACAACTTGTTGTCTGTTTCGTTTCATCCTAAGAATCTACAACCATCTTTTGCAAACCCTTTCAGTCCTGCATGCTCTCCCTTTCAAAGTGTTTGCAGAGGCAACGGTCAGAAGCCATGCCATGCCTCTCACCTGGCTGCTACCTATCTTCTAAACTCAGCTCTCTCCTGTCTGAGCTAAGAGGGCCAGATGAGCCAATATGTATAAACCTGTGTGCAATCTAACCAGAAAAGAGAAACTATAGCTTGTAACTGCCATTCTCCAGTAATTTCACCAGAATAACCCATTCACTTTTTTCATGTTTCACATGATTTACTCCCTCTCCACTTCTACTGTCAGTAACATCCACTCTTGGGAATGTCCCACTCTTCTGACGGCTCATTCCTCAGAAGTATGTACTTCAGAAAGGGTAGGGACAACTTTTTGCTTGAGGAGGGCAAGAAGACAAGGGGGAATCTCTTCAAGTAGAACATTTACCAAATAAAAAGAAGCCCTGTTTGATGCAGGTTCATAAAGGTTCCTCCCCTCTCATTTGTGAGGAATGTCAACAAAACTGTCTGCAGAGCTGCACTCTGGGGCTGACACATGGTCTGTTTATTGTACTCTTTCAATTTTTCTGCCTGTACCTGCAAGGCCAAAATTAATAACCTCAGTAACAAAAGAATGTGTGGAATTTCACCCATTAAAGGAAAGACAAAGTAGAAAAACAAATAGGATCTGTCCAGAATAACAGCAGTTACAGTATATCCTATTTTCCTAGGAATGCTCAGGGCAGTGGCAGGAGGAATGAACCTTCCCTCAGGGATCAGGACTTGGCAAAGGTCTCGTAACAGACAGTACGACCTTGCTGATTATGCCTTGTCTAACTACATCTTATGGATTATGGTTACCCACTTCTGGGGTATTCAAGTTCAACTGAAATTGCTGGCTAACCCCAGGATTCTGCTGAAGCTGAGGTACAAAGCACGTAGTCCAGAAGGAAAGCCTCACCCTCCAATCTGCTTCTTGAGCTTGGCACACAGGAACAGATCAGTAAAAAGAAAGACATGACGTAGCTTGCGAGCCCCCTCAACCAGCTCCACCATGAAACTGTCCTTCAGCAGCTGCCGGTGCTGGCAAAGAAGCAGAAACAATGGTTTAGTTAGTGCAATGTGAGCCACAGATCTGGCACTGGGGCAACACATTCCATAGACATGACTCCTCTCAGTGGCAAATTCACTAACTTGGTCTAATTCAGAAAGACAGAAGGCTATTAAATGTTTCTTGCTGTAAGCCCTTTTCCCTGCTGCCGCCCTCTCTCCCAGGGGACGAGACGGCCACGCATCTCCTTATTACCTGGTCCTGGGTCAGACTTCAGGCTTCTCTCCATCACCTGTTCCTGAGCCCAAGTGTGATTTACTGCGAGTCACTGCCCAGCTTCTGCACACTCAAGGGCCATAACCACTGACAGAACATCATACCCTCACGAACCAGCAGAGAGCAGCAAATATCACTGTTTTCAGCTCAAGCCACCCCCACCAGGGAGAAAGAGGAGCAAAGACCTCCACTCCCCATTCACAACAGTAGTTTGTCAACATTAACATCTGAATGCCATTGCTGCTTCTTTATTGCAAATGCTGTTAAGGGATAATTCCAGAAGAAAATGTGTGTCTAGTAAACTTCTAGGAAGTCCCTTATCAGCTTGTGTTTAAACAGGACCATCTGGTTATGTCCCCACCCTGTGCCTACATAAATCTCTTCTCTGTATCATATAAACATGCCCCAAACCTAGAAGACGCAATGAAGCTGCACAACCCTGATGCCTTTATGCCTGTTTCTAGTTCTAGGGAGCTGCAGGCAGAAGCATCGTTTTCCTAATTCCCTTATGGGAACTCTGTACTCAAAAGACAAAAAGAATGGAGCACTAGCACCAAGACAGATGGCTGTGTGCTGTTACCAGTGACCAAGCCAGGAGATCCAAGCCCTGCTCTGTGCTCAGACCTTCTACTCAGATGGCAGGATCAATAGGACTCTGAGTACGCATCTGGAATAGGTATCTCCCACTGATTTTCAAACAGAAGTATGGGGTATACAACTTTGGGCTAATTTTATTCCCAGCAATACGTATAGCTGCAATGTAGTCTTGCTTCGCAGCCAGTACAAGCAGCATCCACACGTGCTAAGGTATGCTAAAGTACTTTTTTCTGACCTGTACTATTTCCTTGCTATTTCAGCTAAGAGGGTGCTCCCCTGACACCAAGGAGTAACATGTTACACATACCATTTATGCCCATACAGCACCACAGCCAGGGATGGGAGAGATGTGCCAACACCACCCAATGCTAACCAACACCTCCCCTGCTGTCTCTCACTGTCAGCCTTCTCCAGGCCCATGCTCTGGATTCGTCTGCACAACTCACTCCTGACCTGCAGTATCTCAGAGATCCCCACACTGGGACCACATACACAAACTCCATCCATGTCCAAGAGGCAGCTGTGCTCAGCTATGCAGCAGCAGCAGCAACAGGAAAGCAGTTAACCTGAGCAAGGTCAGGACATCCAAAGCAGCACTGATGCCTCTGTTTCCCAGGTTATGCCCCATGGGTTCTGTTTGCTGTGTGACTCAACAAGCCCTGCACACATTTACTGCAGGGGGTGTGGGAGTGCAAACCCCCATGCCGCCTCTCCTTCCGCCTGCCACCCTTCCCATCTTGGCTCTCCCAAAGGAAAACAAACCATATCAGTCCCAAGCCCAGCAGGCATCATGGCAAGGAACACAAGGCAGAGAAATGCCCTTGCAGACGCAATTCTTGTTTCCACACTCTGTCCTACAGCACTCTAAACTTCCTGACATGGACTAAGAGCCTACATTTTCCTGTCTGCAGCTGCACTAGCACCACAGCTAGCTGAGCTGTTAACACCACACTGGTAGTAGTGTCAGCACCTCATCTTGGTGCTGCCTTCCATTACACAAAGGTCCTGAAAATATGTGAGCGGCAGCAAAAAGCTGCACCTTTCCCATAACACAAGAAAGCACGGCTGCTGCCTAGCAGACTGTTGCACCATCTCTGGGCAGGAATCTGTGGAGATCTGGTATCCAGCAGTGATTCAGGCTCAGAAAAGCCTGTACATATGCTAATGTTTATTTTTAGGTGGGTGTGATCCTCCTAGCTGCTCCTCAGTGGTTTTGGAGAGGATGCTGCCTGCATTCATGTTCCTGCTGCTGATGCGCACTTGTGCATGCCTCCGCCTCCTGCCTGGCAAACCAACCCCAGGTAGGAAACCAGAAAAAGAGCTTGGAAGAGAAATAAATAACAAGGAGGAGAAAATACCTTGTCATTAGCAAAAACACTCTCCACAGCTGCAAGGAATTTCCTTTTGGAAAAATAATGAAGCAGGGAAAGATATTTTCTGAGCAAGCCAAAACCCTGATCTCAGATTTCTAGATCTGATGCATATTAATTACACTGCAAATCAGCTCAGCTCCTCTGGGGTAATAAGAATAGCTGCTTGTTGCCAACTCAACCTCTGCTCATCGTTTGTAGGTGTAAGGATGTTCTCACAGCTCAATCATCTCTGCTCCCCAGCAGGATATGGCACAGTCCCTTCCCTACCTGGCAGGGACATGGCAGTGTCCTAACCTGCTCTTCTGTCCCCCTCTGACAGGCACTGGCAGTGTGTGAGATCTGCCAAGACGTCGGCCCAGCACCCTGATGAGTGTTCCCAGCAGAAAAATACCCCAAGTTAGTCCAGAGCACAGACTCAGCAACCCATCTCTGCTCATGGCAGAGACAGGTCAACAACATGTGCTTCTTCACAGGCAATGGAGGGCACAGGCCCACGACAGCTGCTGGAGGACTGTGAAGGACTACTGCTAAGCCCTAGATCAGCCCTCTGGTTTTGGCAGTATTCCAGTACCATCATCTAGACCAGAGCATTTTGAAGACAAGCGTGTCCTCAAGTGAAGCAGAGGCCTATGCAGAGGCACTAGTGACTGGAAACCTTTGTGTCAGGCCTCCACAAAGTTAGAAAAGAGCCCATCAGAATTCCCTGCAGCAAGTCTACAGACCTCCCCACATGTTTTGCCTGGTCCAACCAGGCCACTCCTCCTCCTGCCTTCTGAAGTTGCACCTATATGGCCACTGCACAAGCAATTCTTGGCTGTCAGCACCCAAGCAGACTTCTCCCAAACAGCCATGCTCTCTGTCCCACATCTCCCTGAAGCCCAAGCAGAAATCTCAGCCATACAATGCCAAAACAGGGATGTGATTCAACAGCCTTCATAGTTCCCATCTGGGACTGAGGTACTCATTTGCACCGAATTTATTTTGGTAGTGCTCCTGGGTACAAAATACCCTGACTGATGTGAGACACAGTGCTATCATGAAGCAGTAGATTTTGGCAGCCTGATCTCCGAGAAAGAGAGCTGGGTGGGAGGATGACAAGGCTGGATTTCCTAAACTTGACTGGAACAGAAGTAAAGAGGTGAAAGGGATGTATTCCAGTCAACCACTCAGAGGAAAACACTGAGCTTCCCAGACACTTCATTCTTCCTATCTTCTCGCCCATGAGCTAGTTGAGAAGGTCTCCCTTCGGCAAGTGGCAGGGGTAAACTGCCACAAAAGCAACCAACTATCTGGGGAGGACAGGAGAAAACATTTGTGGATGTGTTTGTGGATGCTTGATATTAGATCTAACTACCAGCTCAGCATCGGTGGAGCAGCAGAGGAGTGCTCCCAGCAAAGGGTCACATCCTCTGCTGCAAATGATTCATCTTGCTGGGAGGGCTCAGCAGGTCAGAGGGAAATAAAAGGATTTCCCAACCGGCTTACCAGATCCCTGCCAAAGCCCACAATAGGGAGTGCACCTTCCTGGACCTCCTGACAAGAGTCAGCCTATCCTCCCCCACCGGGGAGCCAGCAGCCCCCTCAAACAGGACTCATGCCAGCCAGATGCCCATCCCACCTCAGCTCCACAGGCCTTCTCTAGCAGTTTGGAAACCAAAGCCCACTTTGGTCAGCTACTCCCACCCAGGGCCAGCAACAGCCATTTTTTTGGTGGCCTCCTGTTAAACAGGGTCTCCTGAAACACGAGGTCTTCCAACTGGTTGATCCTGCTGCATGTGATATACATTAGCGTATGTGTGGGAAACCATCTCTCTACCTTGTTTTCAAAGTTACTCTGAAATGACATATAGACTACAGAAACACCAAATAAACACCCCATTAGCTTAGGATCAGAGTGTCAGTACCGTGGCATAGTGACGCCCTCTCCTCCACAGTCAGCCCCAAGACTGTCAGAGGGAGCACTAGAGCTCAGCTCAGCTACAGAGATATGTTCCAGGAGGCCTGGGGGAAAGCTTCCTATTTTGTATCCTATTGTATTTGTATCCTATTTGTATAGTGGAATGAATTAAGATCATCTTTAATCTCTCGAACAGTGCTCTGGACAAAGCAGCTCTCCCTGTACATCTTTCAGTGCGTGGATAGCCTTTTTAGATTGCCATTTGCTTTCCTCCTCCTTTTACATCTGTCAGTGAGCATCTCCCCCTCCGCTGCTTCCAACCTCACGACTACCTGTATGCTCATCATCTATTCATCCTACATGGTTTTGTGCCATTTGCATATGCTAACTCCTGCTGCTGTCACATGTTTAACTCCAGGAAGCATGGCCAGCTTGTCTGAGACACATTACAAAGCGTGGAACTTAAAAATCCACTCATCCAGCACCACAACTGCACGAAAGGCCATCTCCTCACTTGTGTGCCGCGGAAAGAGCTCATCCGATGTAGTGACAGCAGAGGCCTGCAGCGTGCGTGGGTGAGAGCACGGGAAGGAGTGGAACATGTGTGATGCAGGAGGAGGAGGTTAAAAGCAGGAGATGGGTATTGGCATATGTCAGTGAGGAAGAGGTGGTTTGGCTTTCTGCAGAATGTAGGAAGAAAACGATTCCTTGTGTGCGTGCGCATGTGTTGCGGGACCAGCGCTGCAGGATAAAGGGATGCTCTGCCTAAGGACAGCACTGGCTGCTCTTTGAGCTTTTTGATAGCCTTTTTTTTCTTTTCATTCCAAAGCTCCTTTCACTGGGAGCTCTCTCTGACTCCAGCTGTAAGACAGGGTATGAAGTTTTCAAGATCATGTTTGAGTGCTCCATTGCCAACATTTACCCAAGGCCTCCAGAAGCAGTAGGCACCAGGCCTCAAACTGTGCCTGGCTGCCTGTGTCTAAGCTTAGCTCCCAGCTTTTCAAAGGCTTTAGTTTGCAGTTTTGCTCCCCTGCAAATGTCCTTAGTCCTTTCACTTCCCTAGCACGCTTGGTCTCTACCAAGTTAAACAAGAGCCTAAAGCAATGATACCCAGTCTCTTGACTGCAGTTTAAAACCACATTGAGAAACATGGTAAAGCAGCTTGCAAAGCAGCCTCTTCTCTAGAGGGTAAAGGAAAAGGTACACAGTTCATAAGCTGATCCAACCTGTGATCTCAGAGGCTTGATCCCAGAAGGAACTGCCTGTCAGCCCTCTTGTGTCTAAACTGATGGGACACTAAGCCACTCCAGCAGAGTAACCCAAAACTCAAAAAGGCTTCTTTTTAGGTAGCTCCAGTCCTCCATGGCATTGTGGAGCACTATCACCCAAATGAACTCTGCAATTTTTTGCAGTTTCATTAATTCCTGCTTTACAAGAATGGGCTGAATTAGCTGGAAACACAAACCTTTACTTCTGGCAGGGAAAGACAACACGTGCTCTACAGTCATCTGCATCTAGGCTCAGTTGAAAAAAACCCATGCAGTCCATATAGCTGCTCTGTTAATGCAGAAAGGTTATTACTGCTCCTTTCCTTTGGGTACATAATAGTGGCACATCCTTCACCTCAAAGCGTTAGTTTTCCTGTTGCCCCAAGGGACCATCCCTGGGAGAACTTTAAACAGATTCCCCATTTAAGCCAGGAGGACAGTAGTGAAAAACAATCAGCAGTGGGGAAAGAAGATGCCTGCTCCAAGGTCTTAAGGGGTGGAAGATTCTTTACCACTTGCATTCTGATTCAGAATGTACAGTGCTACTCAAGACATCCTTTCCCTCCACGAATTTGTTTGGTTATTTAGAGGGTTGGCAAAGTAGTACCTGCAGATAACCCATCAAAAAAAGTAAAAAAGTAAAACCACAAAAGTAGAAAGATGGGAAGAAAAGGAGGGAGCAAGAGAATGCAGCAGATCAGGCTGAATGGAAAACAGACCCAAAAAGTCCTGGCTCCACTGTATTGCCAGGCTGGGTCTGGTGCTCTCCTGGCTTCCCTGTACCACAGCCCTCAGCAAACCACAAAGCAGAGAAGACAAGCTATCGTCAGCCTGGCAGGCAGCAAAGACCAAACTATGTGTTTGTAGGCTTAACCCACTAATACCGCCTTCCCTGTTGTGGCCCTTTGTGTCCCCTATGGTTTTATTCCCTTTGTTCCCATCTCCTTGCACAACCTGAAATACTCATTTTGCCCAGCAAATTAAACCAGAAAACTTTATATGCCTAGGTCTAAAATTAAAAAAAAAAGCCTCCTGAGCCAAGCAGAGCCAAGGGGGGTGTTGTGCTGGAAGGAGACACCTGACATCATGCAGGAAGACAGCAGGCAGATCAGACTCAGTCGATGCTCCCGGAGCAGGGAATTACCTTCTGCAAAAGGGAGGAATTCTGTGCTGATGAGCCTGTACTCTCTCCTGACCTGCACTCCTCTCCTCAGCAGCCTGTCACTAGGGAGATTAACAACTGGCTGCTTTCCCCAGTTCAAAGCAATCCTGAAAAAAAGAGCTGGAGCAAGAGGTTGGCAAAGAAGATTTGACTCCTCCCCACGATGCACTCAAAGGAGAAAAATATTCTACACAAAAGGCTAGGACTGGGGAAAAAAGATAACTGAGATCAGCACCTAAGCAATACATGAGGGGAAAAGGCTGTTTTCCCTCCTTCCTTTCCACCAAGGAAATTTCAATGGGAGGAAGACAAATAATGAAAAAAGCCATCAAAGCAAGCCAGTGATTCATTAAAATAATAATGCATTATGCATTGAGAGCAGTTAATTAGGAGATGCAAACTGCACACTGTCCTATCACCCTCGGGGAACCACCGGCAAGATGAGCAGGAGGAAAGGATAAGTTGAAAAGGAAAGATTTACAGCCATAAACAAAACCCAGCTATGACCCCAAGCTGAGTAGCTTGTAGCAATGAGCAGCCATCGCTAATGCACCTCATTAGAATTCTGTATGACATATTTCCAAGCCTGCATCCTTCACTGAGAAGCTGAAAGACAACCGGAGAACAATAAATGCTCCCTCCTCTGCAAGGGGACATTTTAGTCCGCGATATCTTCTACGACCCAATCAACATCCACTTAAATGAGGCCATCTACTATCACTGAGGTCCTGGTGACAGATGTCTGAGCTTCTACCTCAGCCTCCAACTGCTCCTTTCCTCAGCTGCAGACTTCCTCAGTTGACAAAATGAGACAACAAACAAGACTTGCACGACAAAGTGCACCAAATTCCCAGTACTGCAGCTTCTAGGTGACGTTTCCTCACCTTCTTCTCCTCCCAGGCTTCCTGTTTGGTTTCAGTTTGCAGGTAAAATACAAGTCAGTTTAATGCATAGCAAGTCTCTAGAGAGACTGAGAAAATAATGAAAGCAGGAAGACTCACCTCCCCCTTCTTTACAGTCATTGACTGCCGACGAGGAGTGATCTCCTCATTGATGCTGGAGAGGAAGTTCTGTGAGATCCGCAGAGCATCCTGCAGGAGTGGATGATCAGGGTGGCTCACTGGAGTGTGCTTGAGCAAATCCTGACACCAGGAACACAAATAAAGAAGAGAGCTATGAGCAGCACTGGAAAGCAGAAGGTTCTGAGGGCCCCTAATAGAGGTGTTGGACAAGATGCTCCAGCTTCTTCTTACAGATTAAAGCAAGGCTTCATTTCTAGAGGAAGAGGATAATACTCTGCACTTTCTGGTAACACCACTGAAGTAGTAACAGGATCATTCCGATGAACTCCCTCCCCTTAATGTAAAAGGCTCTTATGCAGTATGACAGGTTTATTTTTGCAATCCTATACCTCCATGGAAAATTTGAAGGGCAAAGAAAGTAAGAAAGGGCCCTAAAGTTTGAAAACCACCTTTCAGATACTTACATGCAAAACAAGTGTGCTGCGAGTCACTCGATCGACTGGCTTGTATAGTAGAGCTATGAACAAAAAAGCAGAAACATAAGGAAGAGGTACTTAGATTAAGCCCCTACAGAGGAACTTGTCCAATGCCACTGATTGTAAAGGCACAGGTTTATTAACCAGTGAGCTATTAAAAAATTCTCTTCTCTAAGGTTAATGTACTGCACAGCCAATAAAACACACATGAACACACAGAGGAAACAAATATGCTCCACGGCAAACACATGCCCACTTCTGAGCATGCCCTGCCAGGCAGTGGCTAAGGAACACACAAGGTAGTACGGAATAACTGCATACAGCAAGGGACACTTTGGATAATTCCCTGGCAGCCTGCCTGGTCCCACAGATCAGAATTGTTTCTTGCACTCAAAGTTGCCAAGGAGGTCCCTGAAAGATTGGCAGCGCCTCACTCCTTCTGGAGTTCAGCATGACACGTTGAGTGCTTCCAAATCCTGACAGTAGGCCAAAACATGAAGGGGATTGGCTTTTATATTAATGAGTATGGAAGCTTGTTATAACATGGGTCATCTTCTACTTATGTACATAGAGCCAAGCACCATGGAACCTGATCTTGACCAAGCTCCCTAGATGCTACCACAGGCCAAAGCCCATATAACAGTAACTGTTAGTATTGTGTTTGTGCTATCACTGGGTAGCAGATGTTCTCTTAAAATCACAGCAGTCCTTTGGTTGGCCTGGTTTTGCCCAAAGGGATTGATGAGGTTTTAAACTGGATAGGGGCTTCCCCATGCATGCATGCAGCTTACTGTGCACGAGCTCTGCTACCTAGCAAAAGGGAACTGATGTCCCAGGCAGAGACTCCACAACCTTCCAGCATTTAAAAAGAAAAAGGGAGAGTGGAGGTTTGGCAACAGCCTCCAACAGTCCTGACAAACCAGTCTCCTCTGCATGGATCACTCACTTTCCAAGGAATTTTTCGTCGTCTGATCTTTAGATTCCTTTGTGCTTCTAGCCTTTAGATTCTAAAAGAAAAAGAAAACCCACGTAGCAGATGGTCAATCACCTTGAAATATCACATGGGAACGTAAGAGACTATTTGCTTCTCTAAGGAAAGGCCTAAGAGTGAATGGAGGACAGCCTTATCACAATGCAAGTCAGTGAAGGAAAAATGAGCTTTCCTTGGTAAAGCCACCACTGCCATGTCACGGGCACCCATATATCTCAAATACTAAACAATTATCTTAGGAGTGCACATCAACGGAGATGCAGCGAAGCAGGGAACCACCTCTAGTGACAAGGATGGTGGAGTTTACATCACCTGCAGGAGAAAGACATGCCCATAAACATGCAGCCATTGTCACAGCATGTGTACACCACCAATAAATAAAGTACTGGATTGGGATTCAATACTCCCAGGTTATATATACTTCCTTACACCTGTACTCAGAGCTGGGTGACCTTGGACAAGTCAGCTCTTGCATGGCAGAAAAGAACAATGCCTGTGACTTTTTGCACATGGACTGTGAAGCTACATCCACTAATATGCTGAGCTCTGAAACCCTCACCAAGACGCAAATACAAAAGTATCAACACTATCATTCCAAATACAGTAGATACTAATACAATTTCAGAGTTATCCTTCAGAAAACAGAAAAAACAAGGCATTTGCACAGAGCCCAGGACCCTGAGGCTGTAATCTCTATTTTGTCTTCTAGGAACTACCATAATACTATTTATACAGATTACTGAACGGGTATGTCCTTTAAATGCATTTTAGTACTGATAGAAAAGCACAGGGGAAGCTACTGTACTAATAAGCCAGTCAGGCAAAGGACCAGAACCTGATGGAAATCCTCAGGAAAGGAAAGAATAGACGACTTTTGCAGTCTGATGAGTAGTACAGCGGGTCCCAAAAAGCAAGCCTTGCTTCCCTCATTTCACAAAGGGAACGCATTTTACCTCTTTATCATAAAAATCCAAAGGGATGTGCAATATCAAATGTACTCAGGAGTTTTTTCAGAGCAATAAACACCCCAGTATTATTGAGCTCTGATTATTTACCTGCTTGTTTGTAAGGACATACATATAAATTCAGATTTTTCTTGGTAACCGAGTTCTTCAAGCTACAATCACCGCAATACAAAGATCAATATGATCATGCACTGCAGGCAAAGCTGGTGGCCTGGGGAGCCTGAAAAAGTATTCAAAATGCTTTGACACAAGGTACTCCTCTTAAAGGGAGGAAATAGAAGCAGCCCAATGAATAATGCTATAGATTACAAATGACACTCCTGCCTTTTTAACACAGTTACCCTCTCCTCTCCATGCCAGTGAAGCCTACAATTCCACTGATAGCCACAATACAAGCCAGTAGGGATGGCTTTTAACAGCAGAGTCAGCATCATTATTAGCAAGAGAAATAATCTGGGCACCTCAAATACAGCCTTCCCTTCTGGAAATGCATGAAGGTGACACAGACCTGACAAGCTCAAAGCAATGCCAGTTTTTACAAAATCCCCTGGGTGGGGACAGCACCTAAAAGCTGTTTATGTGACAACTGCTGTAGGTCCAAAGTATAAATGGTTATAAGAACATGAGCTGAAACACTGAGTCTAACAGGAGCTCACAACTCCTCCTCTAGAAGTCAGGGCTGCAAAGATTCTTGGAGGACAGACAGGAGTGACATCGCAGGGTATTAGTCAGATCCAGACAGCTCATGTGTCTGAATACCGTGACATTACCTCAGAGATTTCAGCAAACTGAGCATTGGCTTGGCAGCATTTCTCTGCTGTCTCCATAGCAACTTCATAGTTATCCACAAAGGCCCGGTACACTCCCAGCTGGCTGGCCTGCAGGAAGCAAAACAAAATCAAATGAATGCCAGGGAAGAAGAGAGTTTGGGATGGCCAGCCTCAGCATCCAATGATCAGGTCATGTCCCTTCATGCTAAGCAGGCCCAGAGAGACATCTCTGACCTGTCAGCTTTGCTTAACCAGCACAGGTGCTCCCATGCACTCAGTTCAATCTATGCTGAACAAGTTCATTTGTGAAGGATGTGGAAGCCTGTGAGAATGCACATCCTTACTATTGCCATCTATTTTTCCTTTCTGAACTACCAGATTAGTATTTATTAATATTTTAGCTCCCTGATGTAACTGGAACTGCTGGCTATTTGCCACAAAATATGAATCTGACAGGAATGATTCAGCCCAACAGCACAAGTATGACTCCAGTAAGCTACTTGTTGGCTTTTGCATGCTGGAGACACTAAATCAAACCCATATCTGCACTAGTGGAAACCATTATAAAGGCAGTAGAGTGCTAAAAATATAGATGAGAGATCCAGAGCACAAACTGTTTGGAAGGCAGTGACAGCAGCACTACATGACAGAACATGGCAGTTTTTCCAGCAGAAGGAACATGCAATTGGCCCAGAGGAAGATGGAGCAGGCCTCAGAGTGCAGTAATAAGCCACTATTATCACTGAGTCAGTACCGATCCCATTGACTGACTTAGGAATCACAACCATAATCATGCCAAAGAACCTAAGATCCAGCTGGGGAAATCCCAGGGTAGCTTCCAAGCTTGCCTGGACTGCAGAGCTGGTTTTGTGTTGCAGAGCTCCACAGACTGTGCTTGTAAACACCTCAGCAGCTTGAACATGCTTGCAAGTCCACGGTCAGTAGTGAGTCGACAGGTGGAGTGCCTTGAAAGGCTCCATTACAAAGAAGTTTGTTACCAGAAGACCTTGCACTTACCTTATGATATCTGGAACTTCCCTGACACTTCTGCCCAAGAAATGCAACAGGCAGAGCAGTTAAATCTCCACAGACAGTGCTCTTTTCCTCTCCTGCTCCCTTGTAATGATTGTTTCCCATTCTCTATGGAGTTTTGTCCAAGAGATGTTGGAAGAGAAAAAGCCACTCTGAGAAGAGCATTCCCAGCACAAGGGAGGCTGAGAAACAGTGAGCTGTTTCCTGGGACGCATTTTACTGAAAGATTAGGAACCAGTCTCAACCCTCATACAAAATAACACAGTTATGACTGAAGAAAACCAGGCTCACTTATAACAAGGATGACCTTGGCCCCAGGACTGTGGAGCCAGTGGGGCACAATTCTGTGGAGAAGCTGCTGATCATTTGCAGGGCTGACGACATTCAGGTTTGGATGAGACCGGCTAACGCAGCAAAGCTGCTCCACTGCTGTGTGGCTCTTCCATTTCTTGCTACTCCTGAACAATCATTCTAAGCTTTTGTTTTCCTCCTCTAAACATGCCATCATGAGAACACCTTTTTCATTATAAACTGAGCTTCCAATCAAAGCAATAACACTCACACAACATGTTCATGCCGGTTTAAATTTTCTCTTTTTCAATTAAAAAGAACACACTGAAAATGAAACAAGCTTTATAGAAGTAACTGGCTTTTGGTTAAAAGTTTTTCAGTTATTGAAAACTACCAGTGACAATATTAGTTACATATTTCTTCGTTTCTAAAAACAGTTCTAAAGTGCACCCTTTCTAGTTTAAAAATGTGTACAAAATATTCCCCAAAAATGAGAAGCGTATTTCACACCCACATGCCTAGTATCTTTCTTTTCTTTAGTTTCAACAGGAAAAAGGTGGAATAACAGTCACTCATGTTGCAAGTGGACTGCACTTTGTGCCAGACCACACGAAATTCTAAAACTCCATCCATGTAATGTCTATAACTTCAATCTATGGTGCTTTGTTTTGCATTATATTAAAGAAAATCAATGTCCCCAGGGACTTCAGAATAATAACAAGGATTCCAGGATTTATCATGAGATTGCATGACATGACCACAAGCAAACAATCTGCTCCAAAAGATCTGACATACATCCAGTACAGATGTCTTGTAATGCCTGATGATCTTGCTATCTCCTCTAGCTGCTACCATTGCCTGACAAGAATTATTAGCTTCATTTCATCCAGCAAATAGTATCACCCAATGATACTCTACCAAAGCACCAGAAACTGAAACCACTAAGGTAGCTCAAATCTTCCTGCACTAGGGCAGTTTGGTCCTTTGCTTTCAAGATTAATCCAACAAAATCAATGATTCTGTCACAAATGCAGAAAAAATCAGGGGAACATAACAGAGTACCAGAAAGGCTTAACTCCTGCACCCGTGATGATCAAGAAAGGGTCTTCAACAAAGGCCTAAGTAGCTGTATGGCAATTCAAAGCTTGCTCAACAGCCAGCAGTGGTAAAGAATATATTGAGGTCTTCTTCAGTTAGTGCTATCTCCAGCACTAGACTTTCAGTGCAGTTTAAGAGGTTTCCACTTTCAGCAGCCTTCTGTATCTTTGCTCCCTCCAACCAACAGCAGGTGGTTTGGTCTTCTTAAAACAGTTGCTCAAATTACATACCATGAACTACTCACCAAGGCACCAACTTGACCCCTTCTGGCTAAAACATGCTGGCAGTCAAAAGCAGATTCCAGTATTTTGATCTTGAGCTGCTGGCATGCATGGAAAACATCATCTTCCAGGCCCAGCTTCCCCTGCTCCATAGGAGACAGGGCTGGTGCTGGGCTCCACAGCTGCTAACAATTGAGCGACCCTGGTAAAGCACACTCCATATCCAATAAACCCCTACCCTGAGAATCAGAGGCACCTCAGGAATGCAGAGATTCTCTGTCTAAAAAGGAAAAAACCAGCTTCTTTAATCCTTTGCTCTCTGCACACGCTAGGGGAGAGGCTAAAGGAATCTCCTAGAATACAAACAATTTGTCATCTGGCTCATAAACTCAGTAATTTTAATTCAGCCTCAGGAGTATGTAGTATATGCCTTTGTACAGTTCTGCACTAACAGCATAGTAGCTGGGGGGGGGGGGGAACTCAAACTCCAGGATGGTGGTTGGAAAGCAAAATGAAAGGTGATGACCAGAAACTAGAGAAAAATCAGCACAAGATAGCACAATGCACCACAGAGAGAAGGAAGTACATGTGAAGGACTTCAGCAAGAATGAGAAACACTTAGCTGTTGGTGTTAAAAAGTATGCTTTTAAACACTGCCATTCTCCCATCTTCCTCTAAAGCAAATGGTTTGCAACACTGCAGACACCCTGGAGAGTCAACATTTCTCTGATATTGTATTTGTATTAGTAGCAAAGCTTGCTGGAGTTTTTAATTACAAGCAATGAAACAGCCACTTCTGCTGCAGGCCTTTCACAACAGTGGCAAAGCTAGAGGCCTTTCTAACCAAGCTATGGGCTTTCATCCCTTCAGTCTATGCACAGTCAAAGGGAACCATACCAGCACCTGCAAGATGAATGAGAGGTACCAGGACCTTTGGTGATGGCAGCTGACTTACCAGCTTCTGGAAGAGGTCCCCTACACGCTGCTGGTGACTCCACTGCTGCACTCGGGGAAAAAGCCCATCATAGAATTCTTTGTGGATCTCATAGAGCTCAGGCACTTTGAAGAATATTGTCTCGATCTGCTGACTAGTCAGCACAGGCTGAGAGGTGGTGGCAGCTGCTTTCAAAGGTTTCATAGGCTGAAATGAGGAAAGAAGGAAATCGTTATCATGCAAACCAAATACATTCACCCTTGCCACAGTACAACGCATCCCTCCAGAGAGTTCATTTTCATCCTATTAGTAAGTGATATTTGCATTCACACAACTCCTGAAAGTGCAACATTAACAAGTTCTCTCATGGGGATCTACCACATCTGGTAGGTGGATTTTCCCCAGGATATTAATGGTGCGATTAAAATCCCTTTGCACTCCATTTCCTTCATCTCTGTCCAACTGTACAGCAATGTGTCTAATAATTAGCACAGGATACTTAAAGATAGGGCTTCTGGACACTACTACACTAATAACTGCCTGGTTGTGCCATATACAGCCCTTTCTTTAAGCCTCTCTCTCCCTATTGGAGGAGTAACAAGATCCCTTTGCACCCAGCAATTTGTAACCCATGATATGTGAAGTTACGGGAACCTCTAGATGGAACCAGCAATTAAAATTCAAGTACCAGTGTTTGAAATGGTGTCTGCCACCAGCACTTACCAGCAGCAGAGCCTCCAGGTGGCTCAGGTAGGTTTCCTCACTGGCTAGGATTCCTGATAGGACCCATTTTCTCATCTCCAGGCCTTTCTCCAGGTCTGGCTCACTCTATAAAGTTGTTAAAGAGACAGAAGAAAATAGAAAACAAAAAAACAAACCCACAAAGAAAAAAAAAAGGGTGGGGGGAGAGGGGAGGGAAAAAAGCCAAGAATGAGGAAATGAGGATGGAGAGTTAAAGATAATCATTCAGCTGAACACGGCATAATGGGTTTGGTGGGGGGGGTTGGGATGTTTTGGTTTTTTTTACTTCCAGACTAAAAAACTCCAACGCAGCAAAAGACCTACCTGAGCTCAGTGTCCTAGTTCTAGAAACACAGAAACATAAAACAAAGAGTTTTGTATTTCCTAGCAACTGATGTCACTTAGATGATTTACAGGTGTTAGCTTTAGTCTTCCAACTTTGGTGCCTCAAGTAGGTGCCCAGACCTCTTCACTAAATTCAAACCACAGAACTTCAAAATTCAGCATTTATCCTCCTAAACAAATCCCAGGGACCCTTGGGTTATGTGTAATTCACTCCTTCCTCCCACAAGAGTTCTCTATGATCTTAATCCCAAACCATGTTTATCTCTGCAGACAGGATCATTTCCTGCACCTCCACAGATGCACATGAATATAGAGCAGCTCCAGCCTGACACTGCTGTTAAGACTGCTGTGCTTTCTCCGACTCTCTACTATTCACCACATTATTTTTCAGTGCCAGCTTGCACAATGTCTATTTTTAGCCAGAGGATGGAATAATCAGCACTGCTTGGAACGCACATGCTGAGTTTCTTATTGGGATTCCATGAAGGAGTTTTAACCAAAAAAAAAAAAGGAAAAAAAGAAAGAAAGAAAAAAAGAAGAAGAAAGAGGGGGGCGGGGAAAAAAAGAGAAAAAGAATACTTTCATGGGCAAATGTACACATCAAGGGAAGACTAACATTACCCTTCCTCTCAAAACTGTTACCTGGGAAATATTTAACCTGGTAAAGTGAAATTGAGTATTTCCATAAGCTCGGGGGGGGAAAAAAAAGGAGGGGAACATGGCCAAACAATGGAGGTTATAAATCATGAGAAACACCTCCCTTTTATTTCCAGTTCTTTTTATTTCTGTCATTCACAAAAATAGCTTTTTCCAGTTCTTGCAACCTTTTTATACTGTTAAATGTCTCTAAGAATAGAGTCAGCAGCTGGATCTGAAAGGGTGGATACTTTTCAAGGGCTCTGGGTAGGTGGTTTGGGGCTCCATCCTTCCTACCCCCTCTTAATACCCAGAGGAATCTTCAGCTATTGATTTCAGCAGCAGGAGGATCAGGAAACATAGCAGTCTGTTCCACTCTATTGACTGAACATAAAGCCCTATAGCTGACAAAAAAAGCTCCATTACTTAAGGTCCTATGCTTTGAACCCTGCAGATGTATATACATGTGATGTTCATTATGGAGAGAAAATATCCTGGATATAGGTAAGCTTACAGTAACTAGCACATTCCAAGTGCGACTTTAAGCCTACACACCACATGAAGCCAGAAACTGTCTCAGATATTTCTGGATTCAGTCTCATCAAAAACCATCCTGATTTTTGAACACTTTCATTAAATTTCACAAGCTATTTTCTAGGCTAAAAGATTTTATAAAAAAAATTGTGAAGTGTCAAATCCCACCATCACCTCTTAAATAAAAGTGGCAGACAAAAGCTGTTCTAAGGAAATGAGTAAAATTTACATGCACATCAGGTACTACATGGAAAGAAGAACTTTCCTGCCCTTCAGTGACATTCAGTAAGAACCACAGTGCCTTTTAAAATCTTGAAAGGGCATCTCAAAGAAGCCAGGAATTTGTAATTCAATAGTCATGTTCAGAAGATTTCAGGAAAACACCAGTGACAAACTACATGGAAAAATGAAAGCTGAAACAGATTCTGTGCATCCACAGAGCACCCGGGTGACTGCCTGTTACAGCTCAGACAGAAATGTGCAACAACATTGTGACCATTCCTTATGATTTCTGTACCAGCAGTGCATGGATGTCTGCCTCATGGACCATTTTGTAAGGCAGGCTACATACACATAATCCAGACAGGCAGAGCCATGATACTTAACAAAGGTTGCCTTCATCCAAAGAGGCAGGGATGTAGCAGCCTTGCTGCAAGAAAAACACAATACCTCTGTGGTTTCCAAAGGTTTCTTACAATATTTACAAAAGAAAAATGCAGCCTCACAAAGAAGCATTGAGAAAAACTAACAGTGCTCCAAAATCCTCACTGCTGAGGATGAGGTAACTGGTCAATATTGACAAAGCACTATAATTCTCTTCAGCAGGTTCTCTTGGAGGAGGTGAGGAATTAAAAGCCAGATGGCTATGTTTGGAACATCTGTAAAGCGCAGCACACAATGACAGGTTATTTAAATAATCCAAACTTCCCCATTACAACAGTGGCACAACTGTTTTCCTTATGGCACTGAGAACAGTTTTCCTCTTCACAAATGAAAGCTTTAATTTACAAGCCAGTTCTTGCTGGGCACCATCAGCTGACAGGGACAGCATTTCTGCCTGAATGTTAATTTCCTCTCTTTAAGAGAGATGTGCTTTCAGAGAGACAAACATCTCCCAGGACACGCTAGAGGCCTTCCTTCCTGGCCATTATCACAAAGTTACTCTGCAAAGTCCATGCTATTGTCCGAACCCTAAAAAAAAACAACCCTTAAAAATAGGAGCATTTTCCAAGCTTGATCCTTGCAAAACCAGCCTCAGATGCAGCCAGACAGGGCAGGACCTGGCTGCTTTAAGCTTACAGTACAGCAATTGCTGGAGAAACCCTCAGGGGAGTTTATCCAACAATCACATAGTATTTTACAAGGTTTCCAATGCAATACCTCAAATTTACATACAGATTCCTCATATGTGAAAAAACTCATCTCCTGCTGCTCCTGCTGTGCCATGGATCAATAGGACACCATGGTGCTGCTGTCTGCATTGTGCTGCCACTCTGTGTTTCTTCCTGAGAG